TCTACAGATTTTAAACATGAATGCTGCTGTTTGGCCTGGTTGGGCTAACTCGGAACTCCCCAGAAGGCTGAGTCTCCCATTTCTGAAATAATCCAGGGCAGGCGGTGGGGGAGGGGGGGGGCTTTGTCCTCTGACGGCCAGCGTCTGTGTAGTGAGGTGGACATCACCAGGACAGGCCCGAAGAGGACCAGCCTCCGTTCTGGAGTCACAGGTGACAGCTCTATTTCCAGTGCTTCTATCTTGATCTACTTATCTCTTCCTGACACTGAGAAGCCCAGCCACCCCTCCGGCCCACCTCCACACCTGACCTCCTGCTCTTGGGTGACCCTCTGGCCGTCTGCGTCACTGCTCCCCCACCCCTCTGCACCCTCACTGTACCTCTCTTCCCTGACCTCTGCCTTCTGTCACTCCATTTCCCAGAGCACCCAGAAGCAGCCTCCTGGTGCCACTTAGTAAGGATAGCCTTTGCTGGGCTGGGGCTGCGGCCCATGGCAGAGCACTTGCATAGCAAACACGAGGCCCTAGGGTCTGTCCCCAGCACTGCAAGGAAAAGTAGAATGCAGGGGAAAGTCCATATTCTTCATCCTCATGAGCACCAAAACCTGCAAATTAAATGTCTTGAATGGGGGCTGGGGTTATAGCTCAGCAGTAGAGCGCTTGCCTCATATTTGTAAGGTACTGGGCTTGATCCTCAGCACCGCATAAAAAATAAATAAAACAAATAAAGATATTATGTCCATCTTTTTTTTAAAAAAGCCTTGAATGTATGTCTGTCTCCTTTTCATAAAATCTGAATAATTTTACCATCAGCTACTGACATTTAACAGACATTCATTGTTTTAAAGAACAATAAATGCTGGACTTAAGTTAGAATACCACTTTAATAAACACACATGGCATTTATTTTGTGACAACGAGAGTTATAAGTATCAACTCAAACTTGAAATAAGTCCTATGGGGTTGGTGCTGCTATGGTTATCATTTTACACATGGGAGAACTATGGCACTATGGCACAGAGTGTGGACCTAGGCAGCAGTACTTCAAAGTCAGGGCTCTTAACCAGTACCCTACTTGAATAATTGAAGGGTAAGAATAATGAGATTTAACTGCAGTGTAATTATTATCATTTTAAGCTTTGAAAGTTTTCCTCTATATCCAACAAAAAACAGACTATTAATGTAGCTTCAACCAGATTTGGCTCCTTATCAGAAATTTATTTATGAGGCTAAACATCTAAAGGCAAATCTCCATTTGAGGAAACTCACGGAGGTTAGATACAAGAACCACAGAAGTCCCTGTTAGAAAGCCGTAGCCTTTAAAGAATGATATCTGCTCCATTTCAAAAGCACACAAAACTCAGGGCTGAAAGGGATTAACATTCAAATTTGTCCACCAAGACTTTCTTCCCACCCCTGCCCAGTCACGGCCTCCCCCTCGCCAGCTCGCACACACTCCAAACTTGGTTTCTTCAGAATAGCCCACACTGGGTTCATGCACCTCTCTCTGAGGATGACGGGAAACTCATAAGCCGTTCTTCAAGGGCTTCGTAGGTTACAGGAAGAAAAAGCAGCTGTGGTTAAATGAGGTCAAAACAAAGCAAAAGCTAAGAGTCACCAAGGAAGCTCACCATGCTTCCTTCAACAACTTTCCCGCCAGCATCAAACAAATGGGTTGGAAGGAAGGAGTGAGTGAAGCCCTCCACAGCAGAGGTTGCCGGCTGGCTGGACAGCAGCCTGGACAGACCCAGGAGCACTGGATCGCCTTCTCTCTGCATTGTTAAGTTCTAATCACAGAAGGAAACGTCAAGAGAAAATTCCCTGAAGAGAACATCAATGCGGCCCCTTGGACAGGGATGAGACAGACAGAAAGAGAACCAGAGGGCTAATTAGTGCTACTCAGAAGGCAAAATAAGGCCTTTTCTTTGACAAAGTGCAAACAGATGGTTAAGGAGCACTTCATCCACCCCTCTTGAGCCTCCAACAGCTGGCTGAAAGGCCAGAGCAGGTACTCAAACAGGAAGCTGTAGGCAGCAACAGCCCTGGGCTGCTGGACCAAATGTAAAGGAGAAGACGGACTTTTCTTTTAATGGAAAGGAAATCGCAATTGAGATGGTGCCCAGATGAACAACGGTAGTTGATTTGAAAATGTCAGTAAGTTGTATTCATTCAATATTTTATCCAATACCTACTGAGCAAGAAGAGGAAGATAATCAAGTAATAAGGTGCAGTTTCTGTCTTCAACGAGGCTAACAACTCAGTGTAGACAAGAATTACCAAAGCTGTCTCTGAGAAGGGTGCTAACTGAGCCCTTTCCATAAAGTAACTGACTTAATTTTCACAAATAACTTCCGGGACAGGTATTGCCACCACAGCACTTTAGAAATGGCTCTGCTGAACCACAAAGGGGTTACATAACTTGCCCAAGATCAGCTGGAAGATGCCAGGTTCAAACCCAAGTCTAATTCCCAGGACAGAAAATTACAGTGTGGTCCTAACACAGCTGTTGAAGAAGCCACATAAGAATGGGAAGGTCCAAGCACCATCCACACACAGTGGACAAGCTCCCTAAGAAGTCCGCCTGGTGAGCAAGCCAGACACGAGATGAGCCCATTATGCACAGGCAGACATAAGTTGGTGTTTTATTTCTTTAATTTTCTACAGTATACTGATTTGTTATGTCTTTCGATAGGCTCCAACCAGTTCAAACAATTAAAAAGTAGTCCATTTATGGTTATTTTAAGATTCAAATCTAATGGCTTATATTTGGCTGTGCTCTTGACCCTCCTTCCTAAAGCTCAAAGCCACCTTCATTTGCAGTAACTAGTGTCCTAAAACCACAATTATAGGAGAAACACTTTATTATATTAGTCTCCAGAATTACCACTGCAAATACACCCATGTGAGCACAAACATCTCAGCCCGGGGCATAAGCAATGGCTTCTCCAGATGCTTCTGATCTCACGGTGTACTCAATTTCTGGGGCGCCTTGGGGGTCACATAGGAAACACATATCCCAGATCCCAACCCTGAAGAACACAGAGGTACAGCCAGGTTGGCCCTCCCTGGGAGTCCTCATTTTCTCAGATTAGAAAGTGGAGTGTCGGAAAGAGCCAGTGTGCCTCTAATTTAATTTGGCCCCATGAAGCATTGGCGTTATTGCCACAACAGAATTGAAAGGCAGCAAAGCCCTCCTTCACCTCTCCAGTCCCCAAATCACAGGATCTGGTGCTGTGCAAAGTCTCCAAAATATGGATCACAGTGGAGAGGGGATAAACTGAAGTGAAGCTCACTTGGTGCATGTCCTAACTGAGGAAATCGACACCGAGTCAGTACCTAAGTCATTACTGAGGAAGGAAACATTAAATTAGAACTGAGGCTATAATCTGATCCTGAAGTTTCTAAATATCTAACAAATGTGCAAAGCACAGATTAAAAACATAAAATAAAATTGATTTACAAAGAAGGATACTGATAATGACATTCAGAAAAAAAAGTTTCCCCAGACACTACTGATTCCAGTGCCCAGGGAAGGACAATGTCCGGGTTACCCTATTTGGCTTCCAACTCCACAACATGTTTCTTATAATAACACAATCTTGTTTTGTGGGACAAAACACAAAATGGAGATATAGTCAGCCCTCTGTATCTGTGAGTTCTGCATCATGGATTCAATCAACCACAGACTGAAAATATGCAGAAAAAATAACTGCATATGTACTAAGCCTGTATAGACTCTTCTTGTCATTACTTGCTTAACAATACACTGTGACAACAATTTACATAGTATTTACATTGTATTAGGTACTATGGGTATTCAGATATGACTGAAAGCTTAAGGGAGAATGTTCACGGGTTCTATGCAAATACTATGCCATTTTATATAAGGGACTCCAGCACCTGAAGATTTGAAATCTGCAGAAGGGTCCTGGAACCAATTGCCCACAAATACTGAGAGATGATCATAATATGATCATCCTAACAAGAATAAAAGATCTTTTTCTTTTCCTGATTGGCTAATCTAAGAAGTTTAATATTCCTTGCTGTTACTTCTACAAAAACTTCCTTTAAGAAAGGTCAAGTATTTCCATCCTGGCTTGTGTACATGAAGAAACTGAAGCACAGGCATTGAGCTCTTACAAGTAGTGGTAACTGCCCCGGCCTCCTAACAAGCAAAATCACACTTTATCTTCTTCTGTGCGCTGCCCAGGGAAGTACAGACAGGGCAGCTTGTCCCCGGACCTGGGTCCCTCTAAACAACACTCATGGGAATTATTTCCAAAGACGTATTCACCTCTAACATGGATGGCTTCACAGAAATGGCAGATAACACGCAGGTGGTTTTGTTCTCAGACATGAAATCAATCTACTTGCCACTGATCATGAATTTATATTCATTTTTTATTTCCATCATAGCAGAGGAGTTCCCTACAATCACACAACCAAAGGACCATTGTGCAAAGAATAAAGCACACAAGAGATAATGTAGAATACAATAACTAACAGAATGCTGTGGAGGAAGCAGCTTACACTGTACAGACACACATAGGTACACACACACACACACACGAACCGCAAGGAGAGAGTTCAAGTCTAAAATAATTGTTTGAGGATGTAATCTAAAGAGAAAATCCTTCAGAGTCAGATCTCTGTTTAAAATCTGCCTCCTGCCTGAGCTCTATTCTTTAGGTTCGTTTTCTAAAAAACAGAAATAGGCATGATGACATCATAGGACTGTCATGAATATCAAGTAAGATGGACCATACAGTGATGCTTAGCATAGTGCTTGAAAGACAAGAAACATCAGCAACTTTCTCTTTCCCTCCCTTGTGTGCTACTGAAAGGGTTTTTTTTTTCCCTCTCTTCAGTTTTACTGACTTAAATGGGAATTTTTACAGCAGTTTTTTAAAACTACACATTATATAGTCATTTGCACATATGTATCTGTTGCAGCACCATAATTTGCAAAGAAAAAAGAAGTAGTAATTTTAAGAGAAAAGTACCAGCTCACTTGCACTGCCTTCTAAACCCTTCAGCTTTACAGTCTACAGAGACTATTTGCTCTAGGGGTGCAAGTTCTGAAATAAAGGAAAAATTCTCATGGGAAAAAACGGTTCCCAAAAAAGCCAACAAAGGAAAGATAATGAGGGGAAATCTAGGGGTATATAAAGGAGTTTATTTTACTTAACAAAGTAAAAGTCAAGCAAAATGAATAATCTGCCTCCAGAAATAGTTATTTAAAGGCTTTTTGTAAAGGGCTCTGGTTCCTAAAAAGACAGGAGTCACTGCATATGCCCACCCACTCTTCATTTTATTTTTAAACCCTAGCTTATATGTTCCTTAGCAACAAGAGGAGCAGATGAGACCCCCCTACACACAGAGACACACACACACACACACCCTCTCTCCCCAAGCCCCTTCTCCTTTTCTATCAAGTACCATTCTGCAAATATCCATGTGCTTCCAAAGACATTTTTTAACCTACCTGCAAATTGCCACTTCCCCACCTCGAAGGATCCCCTGCACACAAGCAACCCCCCCTCCTACTCTAGCTGAACTCTTCTGTGTAGACTCCACTCAGGGAGGCCTTTCTGACTCCTCTCCAGTAACTCCCACCAGTCCCCGTCCTCAGCTGACCCACAGGAGCGAGGCAGAGTTGTCCTCACTGAGAAGCCCACACCCAACCTGAGCCCAACTGCTCTTTCCTTACATACCTTTCATTAGCCCTCCAGTAGAATCTGTCAGACCTGGCTGCATCCCTGTGTCCAGCACAAATGGCCACCATGGCAGTTGGGTAGGCCATTTTTTATTGTTAAACAAATTATTAAAATAAATAAATATCAGTGATCAAAATGCAGAGGCTCCTGGACAAACATGTGCCAGGTGAAATCACCCACTTCCTCCCTGTCTTTCTCCTGGCTTGGGAACTGCCTGGCCTCGTTTGGCTGGGCAGGGTGTATGAATTCAAAGGTCAATAGTTTAGCCTTTGGGGAAGAAAAAATAGGGCAGCAATCCTCAGACATTGTTGTGCTTCAGCATCACCTGAGGAACTTGATAAGAAGTCCCACCCACAGAGAATTCAATGCTGTAAATCCAAGGTGGCAAACATTTTAACCAGCAACCTGGGGTAACGTGTATACAGGTATTTCACTAAATTGGAGGCTTTAATTAAAAAGAAATGATGTCCAAGAAGTAGAAGCCACTTCTACGAACTTTAAGGCAGATGCAATATTATTTATTATCACTTTCTAGAAAAACACTGCCTATGTGTGAGTACACACTTACACATGCCGGTTGCCTGTGCAAGACAACGCAGAAAGCCACAGTTCATACATAGTACATTTCCAGGAGAGAGGCTCAGAGAATGACCCCTGCCAAGAGGCAAACTGGAATGATTTCCCTTGCAAAGGACAGCTTTGTAGCTCCACCCAATGAGAAGTCTGATGAATACTGATCACTCAGGAGGATCCCTCATCCAGAAGCCCAGGATCCAGACCCACCATGTGCTCCCCATAATCACCCCCTCCCAACGCACATCACCTAAATTAGGCTGAATGTGGTCCCTGCTCCCCTAAGGGCCAGAAGGGCCACTGAAGCTAGGAAGCAGAGCCAGCAGTGTCCTAGCATACCTCCCTAGAGCGGCCCCACTCCCCACCACCTGCCTATTTTTAGAAACTGAAAATATAAAAAGAAAAATCCACTTGGATCTGATCTGTGTAAGTAACTAAGAGAACAACACAGGTGGAAACTCCCTGAGCATGCAGGAAGCAGAATGCATGCACAGGATGCAGAAGCTGTCACCACACCAGGAACACCTTTAGGAAGCATCAGAAGTCACATTTAGACACACAGCACATGTCCCAGTGCCAGGGCCTCCAGTCCAGGCAATGCCTGTGGGGATCCCAGTGATTCACACACCTGCCCCCATAAATAAAGCACACCCTCGCAAACCCACACACCTCTGTCATCTGCTTTTGCTTACATAACAGCACATGGTGTGACAGGCTTAATACTTTAGATGGTGTTCTGGAAGGTACTGCTAACTCAAAAGGAGTTGGGTTATAAGACTGCTCTTACTGACCCCTTTTCAAGAAACACTCCAGAAACTGAAAATATAAAAAGCACAAATATCAAGTACAAATCTTTATAAATCTATGCTTGCTTCTCACCTCAACTTCTAAAACCAATAAGCATGAAGTGTAGTCTCAGCATCTTCTTGCCTGAGGATCTGGGGATGGGGGTGGGGGGGTGCAGAGAACGGTACTGAATCTTCATTTCTCATGTTTGGGTCCTGACACAATTAGGGGTTATTTTTTGTCCTAATTTGATGGCCATCTATCTCACACTGTCCTTGTTTCACAAATACATCCATCTTTAGGTACATGTGAGGGTCACTTCTCCCCCTCACCCCTCACTTGCCAGCAGGCTCCCCACATCATCTTCTGGTCACACCCAGCAGAGAAGCAGAGAGCACATGTATGCGTAACCCTCATAAGCAGTGGCGTATCTACAGATAAGAGACGGGTATCCTACTCTCCCTTAGTGGAGGATTTCCAGGCAGGTATAGTGCTATTCTTTTCTGCTCGGGAAAGTGACCTCGGTCATCAAGTAGTGCCAAAGGTTCATCAAGTGAAATCTGGAGGGTGGAGCAAGTGGTTGAGAGGACACTGGCTTAGGGGCAACTTTGATGACTTTTCTCAAGGAAACTAGGAACCTCTGGGTCTGTGCCTCCCCCCCCCCCCCCCTCTCTCTCTCTCTCACACACACACACACACACACACACACACACACACACACACACGTATTTTTGTTATCCTGAACTCAGGGACTGGGTCTTCTCTCCTATTACAAATACATCCCTCCTTTGGCGTTAGGGGGAATCCAGGCTCACGTAGCTTCCCTCCAGCCCAGATGATGGAATGAGAAGAGAACAACACACACACACACACACACACACAGAGAGAGAGAGAGAGAGAGAGAGAGAGAGGAGAGAAGGGGGGAGGGAGAGGGAGACGAGGGCAGGAGAGAGACTGAGACTACGAGGCACCCCAACAACTCCGTGGAAGCGCCTCTTGGAGAGAAGAGTGGCTCCCCGCCCTCGGCGGCACCTGTCTGCGGCTCCTGGGCTCCCGGCGCCTACCTGTAAGAGACCTGCTTCCGGAAAGTTAAGTTCCTCAGCTTCTCCTCCAGCGCCTCATCCTTCTCCTTCTGGCCGGCGACCGCGGGCTCTTCTAGGGCAGCGGCCCCCGCCGCAGCCGCTGCTCCTACGCCCCGCGGGTCCGCGCCGCCCTCGGCGCCCAGGCAGCAGCTCCCGGCGCCGCTTCCGCCGCTGCTGCTGCCGCCCGTCGCCCCCTTCTCCTCTCCCGCCGAGGAGCTGGGGTTCATGGCGACCGCGCTGGCGGCCGCGGAGGGAGCCGAGGCGGCGTCGCTGTAGAGGCCCGGCCCGCGGACGGCGCTGGCGGCGGCGGCGGCGGCGGCTGCAGGAGCCCGGGCAGGTCCGCGCGCCGCTGGCAGGGGCAGCAAATGGCAGCCCCTTCCCGCAGCATCCATCCGCGGCTGCACGGCACCGAGGCATTGTGGGAAACTCCGTGCCTCCACTCCCCCTCCCCGACCAATCAGAGGCTACCTCTCGCCTTCTCCCTCTCCCTCCCCCGGCCAGCCCGCGCCCTCCGGCCGCCCCCCACCCCCAAGCCTTTCCCTAAATCCTGAGCAAAGCCCAGGGCTGAACCCGAACTCTGCCCCGAGGCGACTGGCTGCCCGAGAGGAGGAGAAGAGGGAACGAGGAGCCCCCGGGCGAGGGGCGCTGGGGCACCAACACTGGCCTCAGGGAAGAAGAGCGCCCGGGGAAACTCGGAGGAGAGCGTGCCGCGCCCTGGTTAAAGCAGGAGGGAACGGGGACCAGGACCAGAGAATTGCTCGGCGCTGGCAGTTGCCGGTGAGCGGCGGCGCCCACCTTGGTCACAGACTCCGGAAGCCCAATGCCCAGGGCAGTATTCCCTCCCGCGCGGTTTTGGGGAGGGCAGAGCCGGGGCCAGACAGAAGCCTCCAGACCTGGGTAACATTCGGGGAACATAATAAGAGCGTGGTCGGTGGGAACCTTGGAGAGAATTCGTTTGCAATATAAATTAAGGGGATGGGGTGCCAAGCGCCTGCCTCTTTTCTGATGGAGAAAAGTGGGACCCCAGCATCCTTGAACGCCCCTGCCCACTTCCTCGCCAGGTGCATCCCAAATACGTAGTAGGCGCTCCCTAAAGAGTTGTTCTTTTGAATCAGATCACCGGGTCCTCGGTGAAGCAGAAAGGCTGATAGTATTCGGGAAGTAGAAGTGAGGACCCGAAAGAGAGCAGGGGCTCGCCCAAGGACGTTTCAAGCTACCAGGACCCCAAGGCTGAAACCCTATCTTGCAGGCTCTGCGGAAGCTAACTGTACGCCTCGCCTCTTTCTATGATTATAGAAAATTCTGTGCGGTTTGAACGGTGCGCTACAAAGTGTTTTAAAATAGACCACTTTCTAAATTAGGGGTTTCCTCCCAAGAAATAACCGCTGTCAGCAAACATGAGAAACACCTCAAAGTAGATGTTTGTAACCAAACTATACACGTCCATGTAGGCTGCTGTAAGAAACCCGACCATGAGGAGTTTCAGGGTGGCACTGCGTGACTAGGAACACGTTGTTTGTTTGTTCCTCTGAATTAGGAGACTGAGCAAGCTACCTTAAACATCTTCCAACTCCAACATTCTGTAATTCTCCTCACACGGGTATATTACAATAAGACAAAAGCAAAGGCATTTCCAGAGGAGTGAGGGAAGGTTATAAAAATAAAAACAGCTAGCAATTATTAAGCCCTTGCTTTTACATGACAAGTGTTGTGCTGAGCACTTCACACATCCACCGCCATACGTTTTCGTAACACCCCTCAAGTGTGAGTAGCTTTTCTCATTGCTCAAGCATGTGCAAGTAGAAATTGGCAAAGCTGGGAATCATGTCCAGGCTGCGAGATGGCAGGTCTTTACACTTCACCCAGAGGCAATCACTCTTTCTACCGAGGGGACCCTCAGGCATTTCAACAGCAAGATCCAAACATTGAGGGGATCCCTAAGACCAAGCAAATGTTGTCATAATTGAATTACTGGACTCACTTTCTCATGACTCTTGCTCCCAGTCATACCTTCTGTATCCGTTCCCCGCATGACTTCAAGATATTTCTGCTATGCTACCCCTCTACTTTAAAATGTTCTGGTTTTATCATATGGTCATTAGTGTAAAGTCTAACATGTTATCTCCTCTTCCTTCTTGTGTCATCCCTAATATTATTGTTTACTCCCACACCTCCATCAGATCTTTAGAAACCTCCATTCTAGACCATGATGGACCCCCATCCAATAGGCTCCTACTCTACTATTCTAGTAAGCCTGGACCACTATAACTGTTTGTCACTTGTCTATCTCTCCCTGTGTATGTAGAGGCTATATGCTGTCATATCCCCATGATCATAAATAAGCATACAATGTAATAACATACCAAGTTGTGTATATTGTAAGCCACAGTTAAGTGTGTGTCAACAAAAAAGGAAATGTACATCATTTTGAACATATAAACAAATGCTTCAACTACTCATTATAAAAGAAATCAATTTTAAACTATAATATCATTTGCAGAATAAATAGTTTGATAGTGTGGGCACAGGAAAACCAACCCCTTTTCAAATTGTTGGTATAGCTTAATTGGTACAGCCTCTCTGATGGGAAATTTGGCAATATGCATCAACATTTGAAATGCACATTCTAATTAATATACCAATTCCACTTCCAGAAATTTGTCCTCTGCCATTCTTGTAAGTGTACTCAAAACTTCGACTGGAATCAACCTAAATCATTAATTTATTGTTATAATACTAATGTATTATTAGTAGTATATATATACTAGCTAGTATATTAGTAATAGTATAACTTATAATTACATATTAATTTATTATTGTTAATAATAGTTACTAAGTTATTATTCCTGCAAAAAAATGGAATTCTCTGGAAAGAAATAATACAAATAAATAAAAGAAATAAAGCAAACTGACATGTAATATAAAACAATCTCGAAACATAAGGTCAATTTAAAAATAAAAATTAGATTCAACCTAACTACTCAGTATGCAACCATTTATGGGGGGGAAAAAAGAATGAATATACACATACGCCTGTGGAGACACCTGAGTAAACAGTGACACTGGAGCAGAGTTGCATGGCCCTCACTAGAATCTTGAGGCTTTGCTGATTAAATCAATACATACCAACAGGAGACAGAATGTCTCCCAGACTAACAGGAAAGCCAGCTGGACCTATCAGGTGTGTATTTGCATGTTGAAAGAGTGCATCATCGGATTGCTCAACAAAGGAAATGGGGTTTAAAAAACATCCATTGCCTGTGCACCCTAACTTTAGCAGAGAGACACCTGGAAAGCACAATTTCAGCATGAGACAAACAAGTTCTGTTGTGGGGATAACCTTCCCAGAAGTTGCTTAAAATACCAGTCATCTTCTTAGAAAATTTCTTTTCTTTTTTTTTTATTTTACTAAGCAATTTTGTAATTATTCATTCAACTTCTGACTTACCTTGATACTAAAAAAGTGCAATTCTTTGAAATGGATCAAAACTTTCTAATCACAGAAAAGGAAACTGATCTTCTGATTTAAGCATGCATCTTGTATGATTTTTGAGTATGCAAATAAGAAAACAGACATCTCTGGGTATGTTAAATCATTCAGCTTCTGGACCTGCAAATCTAATCCCTCTTCTCAGATGGACAACATCACCTTCACCAGGTGCAGAGTGGGGGAGGGGTGGACTCATCTTTATATCATTACTGTTCTATCTCAAACAAGTATCATCCCAGATCTTCTTCAAGATATTGCACCTAAGGACATTCTGTTCACAGGAAAAAGAAGGTATTGTCTGTCTTTGTAGTTCTGTCTGTCTCCTGTGACATACTGTTTGAAGTGGATCCCTTAGGGAAGGAGTTCATCCTTGGTTCTAGGTTATGTAACTAACTCTTTTGGCAGCTATGAGGGAATATAGATCACCTCACTCACCCCACAGCAGGACTCTTCCTTCTGGTGGGTGGAACTCTAAGAATAGAACTAGATTGAGCTCAAGCACCACCCTGTTAAGTCTCCTACCTATGCCATTGGTGCAGAGGCTGTGCCAGAGTCTAGCCCTCAATGGAGGAGGTGGAGACAGCCTGCAGAGCTAGGGAGGAGGCAAATCGCAGCTGAACTGTCTGTTGAGTAAGCAGAGGAACAAGGGTGTGGAAGATGGGAGTGGGGATGGGCAAGCCATTCTGGAGGTGCACAAGACCAGTCTTTTACATTCTGCTGCTTCTCATCATCCAGATCTTACTTCAGAAGCCTCCCTGACAATGCCTAAACTGCCCTTCCTTGCACACGACGACATAACTTTGGTTTATTTCCCTCAAAGCACTTCCTAGTGCTTAAACACTGTCCGTTTCCTTCTTTGACTTTCTTCTCATATTTGAACACAGCTCTTTTAGCTAATGTTCAAAAACTGCTATGCACAGTAGGTGAACAATAAATGTTTATTGAATGAATGGCTCTCACTCAACATTCATTTGTCTGGAAGGAAAAGCAGAGGTCCAATGAGGAAGGCGCTAGGCTTATAAATTTACTAGCCAATACGGGAGAAAGAGAATTTTTGAGTTAAATCCAGAGTGAAAGATTAGATTCTGACTTAGATCCTTGCCATATGAAATATAAAGCTATAGTGATAGATGGTTGAATTAAAGTGGAAAACAGTTTCTTAGGTTCTACTGATAGGGATCCTTCCCATCGAGAATCTCTGAACTTGATTTAACTACAAATAATAGTCCTATATTTCCAGGAGAGAAAGGGTCTCTGACATCACCCAGTCCTGTCCCCCATTCATGCATGGCACTCCCATGGCATCTGTGATGATGGACAATTGAGGTGATGGAGGAATCACTGCTGTCTGAGCAACCCCATTGTTTTCAGTAAGCTCTGTCATGAAGTTCTTTCCAGTTTTCACCATTATTCCTCATTCTAACAGCTGGTGCACTACACAAATCATATAATCATCCATGTTTCTGTACTTTAGCAGCTAAGCTGAGCAAGGGGCAAGTTGAAGGAATTAACATTTATTTCCAATAAATTTCCTCTTGTTAATGTTCTGACCATCATTTACCTATTCAAAAATCTTTGGATCTGGAGTTTGTCATTCATTACATTCACTAGCCCACTGGGTTACTTATTCAAGAGCAGGCCTGATATGAAATATATCCAATAAAGTCATCAATAAATCTCCTCATAAAAAGAATAAGGTTGTAATCAGAGGCTGCCGTGTGCCCCTAGAAACCTCCATCCAGACTGACAGCTGGCAGTTACTAAGTGCCCACATATGATACGTACACCCTGTTGTAGACGCCAGCAGGTAAAAGACTACAGACCCTGCTTTCTTGGTGCTAAATACCTAGCGCTCTATTGTGAACTTTTGTGTACAGTTATTAAAATTCACATTAAAGCATTGA